GTCAAATGAAACTAAACCATAATTCAATCAAAAGCCGGTTTATGAGATCATGAGAAACAATTAATTAGATGACGTAAGACCGGAGTGACTGAACTGTCATGCTGCTTTTACTAACCGGGGGGAGGGGCGAATGAAAAACTGACAGAAGTTACCTTGTTTCTGCTTGAGTAGAAAACCAATATTATGTATCTAAACAACTGAGGGGTAAATTTCGTTCCCACGAAGATATTTCTATCGTGATCTATTTGACAAATGGTTAGAATAGCGATACTCCGCATTTGACTCACAGTTACTTGTGAGTAGTGTGTGGGATAATTGACATTGATTGGTTTTTCTGACTATCCTTCGGACTTCACCTTCACGCATAATCCTCAGTTCATCGATTCAACCGTACACTCGGAAGCACTAGACTCGAGTTTCGCTCTTATTATAGCTCATCAGTAGTGCACATCCACCGTACCACCCCTGATTTGAACTCCAGACCNCGGAAGGCGTGTGTGTTACTGTATTACTCAAGACAACACCTGATCAAACACGAACTGGCAATTTGGTTCAGCCATGGCACGAGCTGGTTGGTACAGTGGTAACACACACGCCTTCCGTGCGATGGATCCGGAGTTCCAATCCCGGACGGGAAGGTGGATATGCACTACTGATAAGCTAGTGCTTCTGAGTGTATGGTCGATGAACTGAGGATTGTGTGTGAAGGTGAAGTCCGAAGAATAGAGATAACTGAAAAACAAACGTAAATAACGAAACCATTTCGCTTTTGAGCAGCATACTGTTATCGTGTTCAGTTTAAACCACCTTAAAATGTGCACCTTCGCGCTCATCGTCTGACAAGTAATTATTCAATTATTCAGGGGTATTTCACACTAATAAGCACAAATGCGACTAACATGAGTGTGACGGTTTGGCCATAAAATTAAGCAGACGCAGGAGCTCACACCAACGACCAAGTTAAAAGAAAAAAATATCCAACAGGTTTCATAAGTAGGCGGTTTCGCTCATACGTCACATACGATCGTTTCCACATTCACTGAAAATTCCAATAGTGACAGTGACAGAACAACACGCGTAAAGAACAAGCTCGCTTTCCACAACTTCTTCCGCTGGCTAATACATTCATATATATATGAAGTTAACTAATGTGTCACAAATAATGTCAGAATAATTATGCGTTGATTGGGAGGTATGGATGTAGTGAGGTATGGTCGGGAAAGACGTAGAAATAAAAATTTCTAATCAGTAGTTTAGAATAGGAAATCAGGAAACAAAGAAAGGAAGGGAGGGATGGAACAGGATGGGCTAGGTCAGATAATTAGGTCTAAGGGTCACGAGAAGGGTCATGGGTGAATTGACGTCCTGTTTGGGCCAGGGTAGCTGTGGGGCTTTGAAAAATTCCTTTTATGAACATAGAGTTAGTTGCAATAACCTGATTGATACCACCTCTGCTGTCGCAAGATGGCACAGTCGGAGGCTTTGGGGGTACCCTGCAGGCGATTTTGAACGCAACTTAATTCATCTGATGTCCAGTGTCTATGAAGTGCGCCGTGATTGCACTCGTAGACACCGGACATCAAATTAATGAAGATGCTTTCAAAATCGTCTACAAGGTACCCCAAACCCTCCGATAGTGTCATCTTGCGATTGCAGAGGCGGTAGCAATAAAGGCTTTCATACTGTTTGGCTTGTGAATGAACTGATGAGTAATGAACGCGCAGGTGTTGCGGCTACCGGCATTTACGCTGGCCAAGGGAGATATGGTTTGCCGCTCTAAACCTCAGGGCTTAGAGGAGAAAATTTGCGCAATTGAGAAGATTATCCTTGAAACTAAACGCATGAACCAGTTTTACTGTTCCTCACACTAAATTGTACAGTGAAAAGTCTGCCGGATTAATAAGTATTTGCGACAGCCCTTCACAGTTGGACCAAAGATAAAATATCAATTTCGTGATCACTTTACGATGTGGCATTTCCCAATTGCGTAGAAGGACTGCCAACTTAGAAGTACAGTTAGACAATATCGAGATGCAGAACAACTTTTTATTACCCCAATTCGTACGATGTAGGGTTGAAGTTGATCTCATGATCATGAAGACCCGAGTGATATCCAGGCTACCTTTGACATCACTTGAGCAAAAGAGGGAAAATCTGCAATCCAATGCTCGCTAACGACAGTCACTTAAGTCACTTGACTGTGGCTGCCATATACTAACCAGTAGTTCAAGCGAGCTCAAGCGCTTCCTTTCTTCCGCTAAGGTATGCTTTAATCCGAAAGTATCAGAAGCTGAGTGAAATCGTTATTTTAAATAGATGAACAGGACGAATCGGAAAAACAGCGGAAGCAGTTGAACAAGAACATTGATAGAATTTACCTTAGGCATTGTTGCAGTACTTCGTGTCTTGAGCTCAGGCACAGTCGGTTCAATCACAACGGTCCTGTCCTCGAGAACCTCTGATAAAACGGTGTCAGGTCTCTCGGAAACTGCAGCGCGAGCGGACAGGATTTCTCTGAACTAATGGAAAATGGATCATAAAACGTTTACTTGATTAAGGCTTCATCGGCCTCTTCTTCTGCTTTCTTTTGGGTTTCTTGTTCTTGCCATAATTTGCGCAGCAACACATGATCCGCTTCCATGCCAGCTTGACGTTTATTCAACTGTTTCAGGTCCTCAATTACTTCAACCATTTCCATTTCTTGTTTACTCTGATCAGTACGTTTTTCTAACAACTTCATCGGATTATTAGCCAATTCTTCCTCTTCTTCCGCCTGACGTTTTGCCTCGAGCTCTTCTGCGGTCTTTAGAGCCTCGAAATTGCGTTTTGCCCCGGCTTCTAGCACATAATCACCACTTTCAAGATCGGTCTGATGAGGAACAAAATAATCACAAGGGTGACGCTTACTCGCCAGATAATCTCAGCACAACAAGATGGACAACGAATGTAGAACCGATAATGTCGCAAACCTAGATAGTCCACAT